TTCCAGAGGATAAATCTAGGGTTCGTAGAGGTAAAAAAACTGAGAGTGTAGAGAATTTGGGTTTGAATTTAATCAAATTGGAAATTGAGGATACTCCAAATGGAGCTGAAGTCTCAGCTATGAATAGAGCGAGAAGGGGTAAGAAGATTGGAAATGTATGTTTGGGAATGGAGAATGTGAAATGTGAGGATACTTGTTTAGATGAGAAAGGACCTTCAAGGGCTACTAGAAGCAGGAAGAAAGAAATTGGTGGAGATTCTTTTATGGAGTTAGATATGGTCCTGAACCAAGCACGAAAAAGCCGTGCTAAGAGGAAGCAAACAGAGCAGAAGCCGTCTAGTAGCGTAGTAGAGATTGAAGCTAGAAATGATGATGTTGAAGAAGATAATGAAGATGAGAAAGTTTGCAGTGAAAGAAGTGATGACAAAGATGATGAGATAACTAAGAGGGTAGAGCAGGTAGAGATTGAGTTAAGCAAGAGCACATTAGGAGAAGAGGAACCGAACTGTAGTGTCAGAGAAGATGGAGAAACCGAGAACTTAGAAGATACGATTAACGAGGAAAGAGACCGTAAGAGCGAGGAGGAAAAGGTTGAGCAAGAATCCAGCGATAAGAATGTAGAGAAGGTAGAGGTAGATATTAATAAAATGACAGCAAGAGAATGGTTTGAATCTGTGGACGTTCAACTGGTAAAACAGATAACGGAGGAGACAGAGAAGTTGATAGAGCCTATGAGAAGTAAAGCTTTGAGAGTTCAAAAGTATATTGCAGAGCAAATGGAAGCAAAGGGAAAAGAGCAATGAGAGTTTGGCTTGACATGGTTAGATATTGTTTAGTTGCTAAGATCTTGTTACTGGCTTTATGTTTTTTAGAAAGGGCTACAAACACTTCCATGAGTGAGATTGTTAAAAGCACATGTATCTATATAACTCGGCTTGCTGCAGTCTAACATCATGGTCTTGTTTATTTCATGAGTTTGATTTGCAAACTTATATAATCTGAGAAGTATGTTCAATATCTTTGATCTGTTTATTTTGTGGGAAAACTCATGTGGCTTGTTTAAGCTCTCTCTTTGCATTTATTTACAAAAGAGAGTCTACTTCAATTAATATCAACATGTGAGTGTTTCTACATACACAGAACAAACAACAACAACAAATTGAAAATCAAGACGTTACAAGAAACGAATCAAAGATTAGTTGTCTTGTTCAGAAAGGGCTCACTTTGGCAGCCAGTGTCAACAAGAATTCAGGAACAAGCCGTTTTCTCTGTGGTGCAACCGCGTCTTTTGTCAATGCCTCTCTGTCCTCGGCGTGAATCATAGAGACGATATGATCAAAGAGCTCGTCTTTACCGCCTCTCAGAGGATCCTGAAATGCAAACGTGATGGTCCAATTACTTTGTTTTATTAACATATATGTTGTGTTACACAACATTGAGCTATGTAGTAGAGATCTGTTAATGGTTTAGTCTCTATTATTGTTTACCTGAAGAAATAGATCAGTATGAGATTTACCCTCGTATATAATTAGATCGGTTTTAACGTCAACAGCTCGGAGAGCGTCTGCAAAAGTTTTGCTACAAAAAGAAGAACATTTGTCTGTTTTAAGAAGATGATAAGATTAACTAGCATATTGTCAGAACTGTAGACGGGTGATCTAACCTTGCTTCAGGTGGAATGGAATAATCTGCAGATCCATGAAAGAGTACAATATGAGGCAAGAGAGACGCTGCTTTTCTTACACTCGGGTCTTTCATTCTCACTCCAGGAGAGAATTGTTCAAATGACTCTTCTCCTTCCATAATGCTGCAAGTTGATCAATAGAAAGAACCCCATAAGTAATGCCAGAGAGACATAATTGATCAAATAGATCCCAGCAGAATTACCTTAGGAAAATTGAACGATACAGTCCCCGATTATGGCAGTGTTCGACCAATTTGAAGAGATTGTACCTGTTCAAGTTTGCAAATAGTGAAAAGATTCTGATCACTGAATCCGAGACCAAACAGATTTGAACAAATTTAAGCTTCATGGTAATGCTAAGTCAAAGAATTACCCTCCAGATAAACCGAAATAAGCTTTGATCTGAGAAACACTCCATGAGATGCTCTCTCCTCTTGATTCTTTAATGGCTTGTTCGATGAGAGCACAGGAAGAGATATGTGCACCAGCTGATTGCCCCATCAGATAGATTCTACACAAACAAGCAGGCATGGTTCAATCACCACAGCCAGTGAAAGATAAAGAATTGAACATAACTCAAGTAATGAATTCCAACCTGTTGGGATCGCCTCCAAATGCAGAGATGTTATTGCAGACATATGAGATTCCTCGAGAAACATCTCCAACCATATCACTAATTGTTCCCTGAGGGAAGTTTCTGGACCAGAAGTGTTTGGTTGATATATATATTGTCAATAAATTTAGATTCCTAAATAGCTCCAAACTGATATGTGTTTAGTTTTCTTACCTATAATCAAGACAAGCTACAATGATATCCCTTTCTGCTAGCTGCAGTCCCAAGAGAGAACCCCAAGCTTTGTACCTAAAGGATAGACAAGTATGAAACTAAAAAATTCGACTTTATCTCGTAAAAAGAAAGATGTAGCTTCAGGGATCCTAGTGTTTTACAAGAGTTAATTACGCTAAGTAGAGATGAGTGTGCCAAACTCCATTTCATTGCTTACCCGATAATCCAAGCCCCGCCAGTCACGAAAACTACAACCGGTTTCAGGCCATCACTCGTTGGCGGTATGTACAAATCCAGCCTATCAAATCAATCATATGTGATATGAAGCCTGTGTATTCAACAGAGCACCTATATCAAGACCGAAGAGAGAAGGCATCACGTACCTATTCCTCGGTTGATCTCCATAAACTACACTCCTCCTTACTTGTGGCGAGAAAAAATAAATATATGCAACTACACAAAGAAGAAGAAAAACAAGCTTCTTAATAACAAGAAGAAGAAAACCTTCCACTCTATTTATGAGCAAAGACAATAAATAAAACCTTGAAGAAATCCAGGCATAAGGAGCATTGCATAACAAGCAAGAGCAAGTAATCTTGTGATCCATCGGTAACCTACCCTGAATAAAACTTACAACAATTAAAAATAAAACTTTTCTCACAGAATCGCATTTCGATTTCCCAACAGAAACACAGACTCATCATATATTTCTGCTAAAGAAAATACAGAGAATTTCAATTTCCTTGAGCTAAGTTACAATCATAAGAACAAATTAACGATACAATGCAAATCGGAATCAGTACCCGAGATATCCAAGAAGGTTGAAGCTAAGACGAGTAACCAAATACGTTTCTGCCGCCGCATGACCGATATCGCGGCCGAACGACTGTTGCCGGCAAAATCGAGGAGATTCGTCCGGAGAAGACTTCCCGGAGACTCTCCGACGGACTTGTTCGGGTGAATATAACCTGTTGGAGCTTTGAAGCAGCGCCATTTCGTCGGAGTCCGATGAGCCAACCTCTTTCATATCCGACGCCGCTGAACACATCGGACGACATCGGTACGGAAGGTGAATCGCCGGAGACGACTGCATCTCCGCCGATAAATTAATCGAAGAAGAAACTGGATGTCGAACTTTTTTTTTTCCCTCCTCTCTTTGTGTGTCGCTCTTCTTCTTCGATGTTTCTATTACTATTTCAAAAATTTGAAAAGCATTTCAATCTCTCTGTTCTCTCTCTTCACGAGGAAAGATATAAAGTCCTCCAAACGGCGTCGTATACGGAATGGTGATACAATAATTGCGATTAGAATAATGAATTGGCGTTTCGAACGTAATCGTTTGTGTTTTTGATGTCTCACGCTCGCGACTTTGCTAAGTTGTGAATGAGCGGCACGTGGGAATGGCTGGACCCACAATTTTTTAGAACGTGAACGATGAGTTAAGCAGCGGTGGCACGCACACCAACAGAGGGGAATCTAAATCAATGATTGTGGGCTCTTGCTTCTAAATTTGGACTATCCAAAATAATAATAGTAGTACTATTCTTCTTCTCCTCTCCAATGTCAATATTTTAGATTTTCCTTTTTTCTCGAACAAAAACACTCATCATGCATGTGTAAATAGTACCAACCAGTCAATTATGATTTCTATAAATATCATTTGTTCATTTGTGTAATAAGTATCTTGGATTGTTTCAACTATAAATTTCAGGTCTTAATATTTTGCATACACAATTAACCCGGTTTTACAGGGGACTTATGATTTTGATTTTCGAGAAAAGCTATCTAATCACTCATGTAATGAAAAATTAAAAATCTTATAAGTAATTCCCCTATGCAAAAGGGAATTAGTCACATATCTAATTTAGAAACAAAAACAAAAGGAAGTCAAAATCTTAAGTTCGATAAGAGATTTTTATTTATAACAAAAAAAAAAAAACGTTAAAAGAGAATAAGAATCTACTTTACGCTGAAAGATGAAATGAAAGATATAAGATGTGTTGAAAGCTAAAATATTTTTGTTTTCTTTAGAGAGGGGTTTTCAAAAGTCACTTCTGCATTTTGTTTGTTTTCACCTGAACCACCATCTCTGAACGGCAGTGACCGGAGTATTCAAGAATGGAGCGTAACGTTGGATAATCGGATTCACCGTCGTCCCGATTCTGCTCCATGTGCTCTGGTGGTAACCTGCTGTTACTGGTGCTTGATACATCAGCTTCAATAGCTGCCAACATAAAAATAAAATAAAAACAGTTCATGAGAATAACTCTCAAGATCCAACCAACAATCCTGGAAACTACATATATCTTTCTTCATGGAAAAAATGATGAAAAGGGTTTTGAACATGATGGTTTTCTCATGACACAAAGACATGATTTTCCACAAAAGGAGCAAAACACACTTCTCATTACTAACCTAGTGGTCTTAGCCAATGTAACAACACTTAGTTTCAATGACGATGATTACCAACAAAGAAAAAAGGATGTTTGATTAAAAACTGGTTCCTCCTATAACCATTATATGTTCAGTTGATCGTGTTTCAACCAAGAGTTCAACTAGGACATGTTGAGCCATTAGAGAGAAATGATGATCAGAACCAAAAGTAGAGCAAGGAAAACTTTTGAAGAGACGCACCTGCCAGTACATGAATGTCTGTATAATGTTTCGTTGCCATCTGCAGTACGTAAAGTGACAATTTTTATCAGATGAGTGAAACCAATAAATGCATAGCTGGGTGTTTTCGTTCTAATCACACCACTCATAATATTCACATATGAACTCAATTCATTTCTCAGAGTTTTAAGGAATTTAGTGCGAACAAACTAATAACGGTTTGAAAAGGATGAAAGAGCGTACGAAAGCAGAGAGATAATCAGAAGGAAGCCAATAGCTATCTCAGCCTGGGATGAGAGGATGTTGAGGGTAGTTGTGTTTGACTCCACCCACACACAAGGGTCTTCCAAGTACTTTCTGATAACCAATACAAAACAGAGCACAGGGAAAGAGTCAAGCATCAGTAAGAATCCACAAATGAAAACGAGTACTAAAATAAAACCTGCTAATCAGCTGGACTAAACTACCTGTATATGGTGGAGCGAGAAAAGTTACGCCTCAAGAACTTGGCCACTTGTTCAAGTGCTCGACACAAGATGGGAATCAAAGCAACTGCGACAAATTGATATGGAGACTAGTCATAAGAATGTATGTAATTAGAAGAAATTCAAAAGAGGAAAAATTCAATCAACACTTACACTTCAGAGAGAGATGCGAAGTGACAAATGTAAGGCAGTAGATGAAATAGATGAAATCCTTTGCTCCCACAATTGACTGAAAATAAACTTGCAGCCCTTGCATATTCCATGCCCTTGGTTTCTGCAGATAACAAAAATCGACTTACGAAAGGAAATTCGACGTTGTATGGTTCCTATAGAATAAAAATGGGAGATCACATGTCTTACCCCGTAAAGAGAGTACAAGGAATATAGAGATGAGCACGCAGTTCCCATGAAAGATAGACGATAAGCCCTGTTTGAAAGGTTCTTTGGGACTAGAGGTAACACTGCCAGCACAGCTATAACAAAAACCTGCAAAAGATGAAACAGATTACGAGACTTGACGCGGGAAAAATAAGAAGCTAGATCATTTTCAGAATTACGTCATTAAGAAACTGCAATAGAAAACATTATCTTACCCAAGCATTGACAGAAAACTGAATCGTCTGCTGGTCCCAGCGCATTGAACTTGCATTTGCACCTGTCGTAGCAGATGGCCCAGTGGTTCGTGGAACTGATCCTGAGGTACAGAGTTTAGTCATTTGTTGGTAGTAAGAAGAAAACTCATCTCATACAGAATAATTTAAAAGGCCATGACTATATCAGAAAAAACAAAAAAAATCACCTGAGTTCCGTGAACGAGTTTCATTAGTAGATGCAGTGGAAGATGCAGAAGTAGTAGATGGTCTTGCAGATTGCGAAGAAGAAGATGAAGTCGACATAGGCTCCACAACAAGATCAGGATCCTGCAAAAAGTACAACAAAACCCAGATTCAGTAACAAATCGAGACCATAACGTTTTGAAATCTTCATAGGGAAAAGCAAAGACTAAGCAAATTAGCAGAAAGAGAATCAAAAACTCCCAATCGTAAAATTGAGAAACTGCAACACACTTGTAAAACCTAAGATTGGAAGTTCACACAAAATCCCCAAATCAGTAGCGCACACAAATCAAAATCAAACTCGAAGCATAGAGAAGTAAAATCGATAGTAGAGAAGGAGAAAAGACAGTACGGAACCTCGTATCGTTGGTAGAACTTGCGCTTGAAATGCTCGACGACCTCAGGACGAGAAGCCATGTGAGGAGGGATGAGAATATTGGACCAATAATCCGCCCATCGAGCGTCGTTTTCGTAGTCGTATGCTGCCGCCGCAATCTTTTTCAATCGCTGAGGATCTTCGCCGTTTTCCGCCATCGATGATGAGATCGCTACGAACTCTCAATTTTCGCCGGAGATTTACGGAGAGATTCGACCTTTGTGGGGGTTTTATTTGGTCCACTTTTCCGACTATAGAGGAATCTTCCCCAAAACGACGTCGTTTTAGGCGACTTTTAAATCTTTTATTTTTTTAACAAGATGGTTTTGATTTGATTAACGATTTGCATTAATATGTTTTTACAATAAACCAACTCTAGATTAACTAAAGTAATAATCCATTACATATGAAGCTTGGGATGATGGTCATAATCTTTCATAATATAGTAAGGTTTTTTTTAGTTGAAGTTATGAGAGTATGTCACCTATTTTTTTGTTATGTGTTTTTTAAATTTATTTGTTCAAAAGAAAATATAAACTATAAGTCTATTTCTCTTTCTAATAACTTAAAAAATTAATTTTAATAATTTAATAGCTAATTTTAGTGTTAATTAATTCTAATAAGTTATAATATATATTAGATATTGTCTTTTTTTATTCCGACAAAAAACTATGATTCCAAATTAAATGTGTTATTATAAAATTTTAATGGTTTCGAAGATAGATATTTTATTTATTGAACCCAATAATATACTATATTAAAAATCTAAGATTTTAAAGTTTTCTCTAAACTTAATAACAAATTAGTACAATTAAAACTTTTGTAAATTGAGAAAAACTCTTTTTATTGTTATTATTCCTTCCATACTGTAATTATGATGACAAAAACATAATTCACTTCACTAATGAATCAATGTG